CATTAAAAGTGCCCTGAGGAACTCACCATTTGGGACACCAGGTTGGTCAGAATGATAAGCAGTGATCTTGATGCATCAACTGCTTGATCATAAAGGTTTTCAAAACTTATCACTATAAAACTCCCCTCTTTGGGGTATTTGAAGCTCACACAATTATCTAGGACATAACTGTCTCAATCTGCTCCACTGGATTGGTTCTTATCTTCAGCTATCACTGAGAAAGGGTTTTACTTACCCCTCGTGTTCCTTCTCTTTATGCTTTAGCTGGAGACAACTCTCTTTACTCCCTGACAGCTCAGGCCTTTCTGGAGGGGCTGCAGACTCTGCTGAAGAGGAGGAGGACTTTGGGCCAGAAATAAGCTTCATTTTCTTCAGTTTTATTGCTTCTTCAGTTGCTGAGTTCCTCACAACCTAAAAGGAAAAGATAACAGAAGGTTTTACCTGTGCTCCTCAGCTGTAGGATCAGCTCTGGCTTCAGCTCTTATCCACCCAAAACCCACCAGGACATCCAGTGACTGTGATTTCACAACCTCTTGCTTCCCAGACAAATTGTGCAGCTTTTCCTGGAGTTGTGCTGTTGAATGCTGCATCATTAAGATTTCTCTTTGCTGCTTTAACAAAAGCTTTCTTTCTTGATGGGCTGCCCTGTAGATGTTTTGCAGGTGCTGGATTTCTGCCTATGCAAAGCAGAAAAGGAAAGGAGCATAAGAGCACAAGACCTACTTAAACAGTTATTAAGTTTCTTAACATACTACTCATAAAACACCCTGAAAATTCAATATGCAGGTTTGGCTCCTTTTTTGTAAAAAATTTTGCAGTTTTATTTTTCACTGGGGGCTTAAGGAGGGGTTTACCTGTGAAAACCAATGACAGATAAGGGGATATTTCAACGGTGTGTCAAGAGGTGACACCTTTAAAAATTAATTATCTTCAGATCATTCAAAACTACAGGATGCTTGTGGTTTGCATTAGGAAAGGAATCCCTTTAAGGGAAGGACAGGCTTGTACTACATAAGGAGCAGGACACACTTTCTGACTACTAAGTGTAGTTATGAACCCCACACAGCAGAATAACTGAGACTATAAAATTAGCTGTCAGATTAATTTAATGTATTTCAACATCAGAAGCATAAATCTGCATAAATCAGTGAAAACCTATATTACATGACCTGTTTGTTACAGCATAAATAGAAAAATCCACGATAACAGTGAAGTAGCAGAAAACAAGATATAAAAAGATGTTTTCTTTTATCCAAGATTTACAGACTGCTGACTTTGGCACAAAAAACACCTCCCTGAATGTAGGAAACAAGCAGAATAACACATACAAAGTGACTTTTTTTTTTTTTTTAAAGCAAACCCCACTTGCTCCAGCAATTCCCTGTGCTGCATCTTCCCACTAGTTATGAGATGGAGCCCAGATTCTCTCACTGCAGCATTACCTGCTCCTGTTTCAGCTCCATGAGGATTTTATGCTGCTTTGCTGCCATGGCAGAGGCTCCAAGACTATCCTGCAGGTTTTCTAGAACACTGGAGATTAGAGAAGGATGAGAATTACAATCAGATAATTAAATGCCTTGAATTTACTGCACTTCGGAAAACAACACCAGGGATGGGAGAAAAGCCCCTCTCAAACCAGCAGTAGCTATGGAGGGCTCTGCAGAAAGTTCAAGATTGAGAGGACATCTCCCAACCTTGGGGCTGTGGTGCCTGGACCCATTCCAAGGCAGGTGGAGTCCCCTGAGTACTCAGTGCACAGCACTGGTGAGGGACATGGTGCACCCCTCATTGTCCCTGAGGGTCCATCAGCTCGGTCAGCACTGCAGGAAACCCCTCATTGTCCCTGAGGGCATCTTCGCTTTGTCAGCACATCCCCCCTCATCCCTGAGAGTCCCTCATCCCAGTCAGCGCTGAGGGACACCCCTCACCGCCCCTGAGGGCTCCTCATCCCAGTCAGTGCTGAGGGACACCCCTCACCGTCCCTGAGGGCTCCTCATCCCAGTCGGCGCTGAGGGACACCCCCCACCATCCTCAAGGGCTCTTCCTCCCAGTCAGTGCTGAGGGACGCCCCTCACAGTCCCTGAGGGACACCCCTCGCAGTCCCTGAGGGTTCCTCATCTCAGTCGGCACTGAGGGACGCCCCTCGCAGTCCCTGAGGGCTCCTCAGCCCAGTTGGCGCCTCACACCACCCCAAAGGAGGCTGCAGTTGGAAGCTCAGCTCTTCTCTGGAGAGACTAAAACCATGCAGGCTCCTCTCCTCTTCTCCTGCTATACCTACACTTGCTTTCTGAGAGAAGGGGTTTGTATTTGTTCTCTTTCCCCGAAAGGAAGAAAAAGAAGAAAAGCAGCCCTGGCCTGGCAGGTCTCTGGCGCTGAGGGCCCCGTCCCCGCCATGGCAGGTTTGGTGTCCTGCCCATTGTGCCCCCTCACCGTCTCTGGTGGCCCAGCCAGGCCAGCTCAGCCCTGGCCTTCTCCCTCAGAGCCTTTTTGCGGAGCTGGAGGAGGGTGGCCTGGTGTCGAGCCCGCAGCTCCTCTCCCCTCAGGCACTGCTGCGCCAGGGCCAGGCTGAGGCGGTGAAACGTGCTGGAGCCTCCATAGAGCGGAATGGCTGCGCTGCACTGGGGACAGAGCAGGGCGTCAGAGTCACTGATAGAGGGACTAACAGCCAAAAAACACCCCGAACTCGGAGAAAAACACCCCTCAGACTGTTCCCAGAGATGGAGCTACCTGGCTGTCACAGCTGGCCTGGTCACTGCTCTCTCCAGAGCTGTCCCCTGCACAGGTCTCCCCATGGGGCAGAGCCACCAGAGGTGAGAACAGATTCGCAGTTTGATGGTTGTGCAGTGGCTCCCTGTGATCTGCTGCCAGGGATCCTAAGGAGAGGAATTAACGTCACTACAAATAAAATATCTGTAACAGAAGGAAAAAGAGAGACCGAAAAAACCAACTCCCACAGTACAAGTTAACATCCATTCCTGAATCCAAGGCACCTTCACAAAGACTTGGAAGCCAGGCCCATGCACTGCCCTCAGAGCCAGAGGAGTCACCCCGTGGCTGTTCACTCACAGGAGCAAGGTATGAACACTAAACTCACTTTTTAAGTGCAATCATGGTAAACAGGTAAAAAGGAAAAAGGTGCCCATCAATAGGGTAAATAACTCCCAGCTCCCAAGATAATTTTCCGTAGAGAGGTCCAGCATACAAAGGGAGATCGCTGTGGTTTAGATATGGATAATGAATATAAGTATTTACATCAAAAGTTTCAAAGTCAGTTACCTGTCAGTTCCAGGACAGGCTGGATGGGGCTTTCATCATCTAGGGAAAGGTGTCCCTGCCCATAGCAAGGATTGGGATGAGATGATCTCTAAGGTCCCTTCCAACCCGAGCCATCCTGTGATTACATGTCCCAGCCCCTGGATGTTTCACTGTTTCTAATGCCATGTTAAGAAGTGTTGTTTTCCCTATACCACCAAATCCTTCAACTTAGCATTCACCTTCTTGCAGCACTGAGCAATATGAACCTCTTCCTCCCAGAGATTTTCTTTCTCCCACTATTTTGGGATCCACTGGAGTATGATCTCTTTCTATCTTCAGTGCAGGTTGTTTCAGTGAACACATCTCTTGATTACTGAAGGTAGGAAAGAATGGAAATATTTCCTTATTGCAGTCAGAGATACTATTTCAATTCTAGACCTCTGTGGAAGCTGAATCTTTTTCAAACCAGAATGCTGCTCATTTTTATGTGATGTGAAAGTTTTACCTGTGCAAAAGAGCCTTTCTGGTAATTGCATCCATAAGACCCTAGAAGCAATTCTCAGGTCTTTATGCCATTTTAAATGAACATAAAAATGTGCACACACAATATTCTCATTCCCACCAGGGTATATGAGGGTAATGCAAAATGAGGAAAATTATATTGTCCCACAAGTTTCAAAGGGCCTTCTACCTTTTAAAAATGCAGCATCTCCCCCAAGATTGGAAGGTGTTAATATTACAGTTTGGGCATAAATCAGAGTAAAAAGACTGTATTGCAATTGCTTTAGTGCCCTAAATTGTTCATATAGTCAAACCACAGGCCAAATCATCAGGGTGCCTCACTGCATCCTGCCTCCTGTACCTGCCAGCAGCGTGGTCACCTTCCAACTGGTGTCCTCTCCGTGTTTGCTCCGTGTGGTACAACCCTGGCACAGAAGGATCACTGCCTCTGGAGCTCCTGCACTCCTGCACACACAGAAATTACCCACAGACCTCCAGATCTATTTGAAAGGCAGAACTTCTAAGCCTTCTTCCCTCATCCTCTTGGGAAAGCACCTCGTTGTAGATAATGTAAAGGATACTTTTTGGTTAATATTAGCACCTCACTAGTCTCTCATGCCTGAGCAAGTATCACTGTGATTGTTTCTTGAGGACTTAAAACCTTCTCTTGATTTTACAACAAAACCAGCCATAGACACCAAAAGCTGCAGTACCTGAGTGATTTCAGATCAACACTCCAAGTGACAGTCTAAGGGACTCTGTTACCTGAGAGACCTGGGCACTTCCAAAAAGTTACCCTGATCTACAGCTTTTATGAGTTAAAAAACCTCTTTTGATTAAGGGACTCTAAGTGAGAATAAAACCCAGTGGGGATTGGAGGAACACTTTGCTGAACCCAGAGGTGTTAACCCAGGATATGAAATGATAACTTACCTTGGAGCTGTACTGCAGCAAGTCACTCAAAAACCTCTGGCTTTCCTGAACCTCTTGCTTTGCTTTCTCCCTCAGCACCATAAGCTGCTGTTTCTGCTGGAGCTGATGGATCTGTGTTAGGAAATGACACACCATAAACGAGGTTTTTAACCAGGTGACACAGCACCTCAGAGCTAGGGAGCAAAGGGCAGCCAACTCCAAGAGAAGGGCAGGAAACACTGCTTTGGTTGCAGCATAGCAACTTGTTCTTACCCACCAAAACTACAGCAAATAAAGCTGTTTTTATAGCTCCCTGGGGGTTTATAAACGTGCTGCAGATCAGCTGATTATCATGTAAGCACACCTGAATCCAGGGGCAGCAGCACCTTCACCAACCTTCAGTTTGTGAGCCAGCAGTAGAGAGGTTTGCCTCAAAATGTCCAGGTGGCTCCTGTGTTTGTGTTCCAGCTCTGTGTAGCTACAGTCTCCCTGACCTGCAGAAGTTTAGGAAATAGATGGTAACACCATTTAATTAAAAGAACCTGTTCTTCATTTAATGGCTGCCAGCTGGAGAAATATCAGAGTTAACCAGAGGCAGACAGTGGAACCAGATTCCTTGAGATTCCAGTTGCTGCCCTGAAAGTGTGTTTCTACACTGTCAAAATCCTTTGGGATTTCAGCATTTATGAAGTGTTTTCCCAGCAGGGCTGACTTGCTGGCTCACCACTGAGGCCAGTACACCTTGGAAATAATCTGACAGTACCAAGGTATTTCCAACAGAGTTCCAGGGCATCTGTTTCTCAGCCTTCTCTGCTGCATTACCTGTACTTCCCAAACGTGTCTGAGTCCTGATAAACAAGGGATCATCACAAGGGGAATTTGTACATTGCTCCTACTGCATTTTCCTTTTGAATCCTCCCTGGGCCTATTTTTGGGAGCGTCCCAAATCTGACATCTGCCTTTATTCCCAAAATAACTTCTCTGCATACATTTGCTTCTTCTGCCATAACTGCAGAAGGAAAATGTCACTACCTACATCCTGTCAAAAAATCTGTGAGCATGAAGTCCTGCAAGTATTGGGAAGAGGTAGAACTTGAGGGTCTGTGCCAGGAAAGAGAAGGACTGGGGAACAATTCCTGTTCTAAGCCTGAATTCCAGAGTGTGGGTGCTCTCCCCAGTGTCACTCATTATCCTTTGCTGCACCAACAGGATCAGATCCACCAGGTACAAAAGAAAAGCTTCCCAACAGGTCATTTCTTCAGGAACTTGAGCTGCATCCCTCGTGTCCCCTCCATGTGTACAGGGGTGCAGGCTGACTCCTCTTTTGCCACAGGGGGACATTTTTAAGTGGAGATGCTTTCTTTCTTGTTCCACAGGCACCTATTTCCCTGCTCCTTCCTTATTGTAACTCCCCTGCCTGTCTTGGACACTGCAGGTGATGTAATGTTTACCAGAGATATGTTCTTGGCTGCTTTGAGCTCCTCAGATGAATTGCTCAGCTTATGCAAACAGGTCTGGTGTTTACTCTGTGCTGTGCCACTGTCACAGCAACCAGAGTCATAAATGAATTGAAGTGAGGGTCATAAATAGAAATAGGTTTGACTTGGAAACTTGAGATAAAATCTGTGTCTCTCTCCAGATCATCTGAATCCAAATTGCCCCACACTGCAGGATAAGCCCACAACATGCAGGGTTTGTTTTTGCTTTAAATACTGAAGGATCTTTAACACAGGAGGAGCAGAGATGTGGCCTTGTTTGCATGCCAGGATGGGGTTTGTGTTTATGTGGGTGTGAGTGAAATAAAACATTAAATCTTCCAGCCCGATGCAGTTTTTCTATTAGGCTGCTGCTCTGTTTTTATAAACAGCCTGACTGCACACTTCACTTACCACTTACTATGGGAGGTTTTTCCTAACCTTTTCAGAATCGAGGGACTGGATAAAAAATCTCTTATTTTAGTAATGGGCATTTCCTGGGTTTAGAGGGTGGTTGGAAAAGGCAAAATCACACCAAATTACCTAGAAATCACATGCCAAAGGACCAGTTCATCCTTTTAAAAGTATTTTTGGTTTTAGCCAATCTTTCTAATTCTGAGGACTGATTCAGATTCTTTAATGCTGGTAGTTGCTAGAGATGATTTTGTGAAATGGCATATTTAGGAAAACTGAGTGGGTGAAAGAGCTGTTGTTTCTACAGGGAAATTTTGAAGCAATGCAATAGGAAAAAAAAGAAAAGTGAACAGTTCTTCAGCAGGTAAACAGACACCACTTTCCAAAGCTCCTTCAATACTAACAAATAAGATCATTTTATTACAAAAAAAATGCAAGCTAAATTTGTTGATGCTAAGTTGTCTGAGTAGCTTTTAATACTAATATCTGGGCCTCTTGAAAGTATGATCATCTATTGGGATACAGTTAAAAACCTGGCAAATATTTCTAATTTGTGCCTCAAACTGAACAATGCTACTGTTGTTCTGCTCAAAGCCTGACCAGTGGTATTGATCTCGAAGTGATTAAAAAGTTTGATCTGTTTTCACTGCTTTTGAGCATAATTTTCCTAATTGTGGCTATTTCCAGATGCGTTTCTTGTGTTGTAACATCCTGCATTAAAGAAAATGCCATCTGGCTAAACTTCCCATCCTTTTCTGTGATGATGAATGGCATTTTACTGCCTCCCCAGATAGCTCCAACGTGCACACACTCAGCCTTGGGAAAAAAATGCTATTTATTAAATCACTTTCCGCTGCACCTGCAGAATCTCGGTAAAGCCCTGTAGAATCTCCCTGACATATAATTAAAAAAGCCAGGCTAAAAGTCTCATTTTTCTAATCACTTGAAGCAAGGCAGAAGCATTTTACTGCTGCTTTACTCAAGGACAGCTTTTCCTCTTTCTGCCCATGTCAGCAATCAGACCAACCCAGCTATTACAGAAATACAGACTTGCAACTTTAGCATAAGCACAACTTTGACTGCCTAATTCCCTGGATGTGTAGGAATACGGGGTGCAAAGTGTCCTGAAATGCTGCTGTGGAGCAGAGCAACAGGTCCAGAAAGAATTGACCCGTTTGCCCCCTTTGGGGCAATCCTTTCCCTCTCCAAAATTACTGTGTTGGCTCAACTGCTTTATTATTTCAAGGTGTTGCTCAGATTAGGGAGGTGAGTGAAACACCACCTGGCATTCCAGCTCTCTGGTAATGTGCAGGAACAGAGCTGGAGTGATGACAGGCAAATGGAGGTGCAGAAAAGAGGGCTGGTAACTCCTGATCACAGCTGAGATACCCAGCACAGGTTGTTTGGCCCTCCTTCAGCAGGACCTGTGAGCCAAGAGCAGCCCCTGAGCAAGAGACTCTCCACTTGAAGGGTGTGCTTGTTCCCTCAGGAAAATCGATGTGCTGATCTGCACCCTGG